AGAACTGAGCGAGTAAATGATAAACGGCGAGGAAAATGATTTATCAATAATATGTACCTTGATTTTCACACATAGCAAAATATCAAATCATAGAAGCAAAATGTTTGTAAAACTCGCGTCTGAAAACGAGTATTGGCATTTGAAAACGGGGAAAGTAAACTGTAAAGCGGAAGAACTCATCTTGTGGTGACTTTGAGGTGAGTATGAAAGTGATCTTCGCAATAATGAATACTACTTAAGCAGTGGTAAAATCAGGCCTGAGGAACAAAAAATTCAGGTCTATAGAGGATTTGAACTCATGACCTCTGCGATACCGGTACAATGCTCTACGAAATTAGCTAACAAGCCAAGTTTTTGATAAGGTATCGCTGTCTTAACTCTCTGTGATGTTTTTTCTTGAGCCCGCAGAGGAAGTAAAATTTGCTGCCCTTTGAAAAAGTGCTTATTGCACCAACTTGCAAGAGAAATCATGTTATTACTTGTTAATAATTCACATGAAAAAAACTTTATAGAGAGTCAAGGCATGCACAGTCGAAATTTTGAAAGCGTGCGCGCGCTGTTTGTAATTTGTGCTCGTGTTATAACTTTGCACTCGTATCACATAAAAATGCATTCGTTTTCAGCAAATTAGAAGCGCGCGTTCATGTATAATATTGAGCGAGAAATTGGCCTTCAAATATTATTTTAAAACTGTAATCTCTATTTAACTTTTTTTGACCTCTCCTCCCGATACCAAGCTCGATAGGATCTCCCTCTAAAGAGAACAAAACAACTACGCAAACAGTGAGCTACGCTCCATCTCAATCTTTTATTCGAGTTCTTTGCAATTACAGAATTATTACTAAATCGCTATAATTATCAACAACAGTTGCAAAATCGAGTCTAAGAGTTTTTTTTTCCCTTGCAGGAGCTGAACAAGTGAAGACAAGTCTCATTCATATTTTTCCATATCATTCGAGCCTTGGCCTTTTCTTTCTCTTAATTCGTACATGGCTGGAACTGAAAAGTGAGAGAATTCACAAAAGTAAGAGATCGAAATGAAAAGTATAATTCTCTTTAGAGAGCTTAAGAGCGCTTGCCTGTAAAAATCAAACATATCATATCATAAAAATTCGATTTCTTTCTTATTTTAATGTTAGATAGGCTAGGCTATAACTAAAATCACTGGATACTTTTTTTGGCAAAATATCTTTCTTATTTCGGAGAAAAATACTAATAAGGAAATTCCGTTAAAATCGTCATTTTTAGCAGCAAATTATTGCACGAATTTGAGGGCTTCGCGTGCAAAAACGAATCACTTTCTCGTCTTTTAAACACTCAAATATTCTTTTTCGATCTCACAAGACCTCGCAAAATGATTTTTGTAAACATTGCGCTCTTCTTTGCGCTTAAAGTAATTTAATTTCGAAAGCATGCATTTCTCTTTAGTAAAAATACTTCGTAAATAAAATTAATTTTCACCATGTACTAAACCTTCAAATGGATTAAGCTTTTGGTGGTTGAATTTCGAAAAGATGTTCTTAATATAACTGTAAAAATTTGTTTGGGCAAATGATTGAGAGCGATACAAAAGCTCTTCAAAGTCCGTAAAATTGCAGTTATTTGACCTTTTGCGGTCAACATTCCAATCGCGAGTCACACATATTTGAATATGTTTCAACCAATATGAGGCCGAAAAATGTACATAGAAAGATATTTCCAAATGCTCTAACCTCATTTGCCGCAGAAGACCGATCCAGAGACCATTTTAGTGTGATTCTCTTGTCGTTCGTCGTATTTAGGTCTGCATAAATGATAACGTCCGATGAAACCACCAACCCTGTCGAACACCATCTTGTTGTCAAACGTTCGATATCTTTCTTCACTGTGGCGTCTTATTCAGCAGTTCAGTTGACTGCGAGTATTGCTTAGTTTACAATGCACTAAAAGATTACATCTGACAGTCTAATTCAATGCTAAACGAGTTGACTACAAACATGTACGCCCTTTGAGTATTTGGGTTGTCACGCAATACCGGTGACAAAGGAACTTTAGGGGGTAGGTGAAGGACAAAACTCCATATAATTAAGCGCTACCAGAATTGAACTCTTGGAACCCACAAAATATTTTATTCTGTAAAAAATTTTGTAATAGTGCCATCTTTGTCTGGTGACAAACAGTAAAATACATTTATTTATTGTAGGGAATTATTCTTGTTTTTTGGCGCTCTGTGCCTGTCGTACTTATTAGGGGTGTTTTTCTTTCCACTAAAATTGCAAGAAATACCCTAATAGCATGAAAGAGAACCAAAGATGTCAAACGTTTTATAACGAAGGTTGGTGATAGTTCGCAGATTGACAGGCATTTCATCGGAAGTTAT